TATATAATGGTTCTTGAATTAATTTTATTTTATTATGAGAAACTATAGGTTAGACAGAAAACTATGTATGCCTCTTATTGGTAATTTATCACATTAAAATACATGCATTTTACTAGGGTTTATATAAAATTAAGAGAAAGGTACTTTAAGAAAAAAACTGTAGATTGGGGTGAGCTACAGCTTCATGGAATAAGCAGACAGGCAGGAAAAAGATTTGTTAATACATTGTGAATATAAGAAGCAATTAGAAACGACTATACTATACTATTATAACATGTAAAGGCGAAATTAAGCAAAGTTATTGATGGTTGTAAAGACTGAAAATACTTGGGTATAGAGATAACAATAACTTTGATGGAACAAATATTAAATATTAAAGAACATGCAACACACAATGTGTGCCTCAGAAACATGTCCGGTTTCACTTGAACATGGAGACAGATTGGGGGAGGATCAGGAGTGCATATGGGACTGAGTTAGCATGTCATTGCCTATCAAGGACATCCAAAGAACTGAAGAGATTAAAATTCTTCTATACCATTGTGAATCAAAGAATATAAGAAAAAGAAAATAATATTCTTTTTAAGGTAAACAAATGATATTGAAGAACAGAAGCGATCTATGTCATATACAATCAACCATGGGGAGATTATAAAATTGTTCACAATTTTTCTTAAAGTCATTGGAGTTAGATCATGACTGGAAACAACCAAAGTATCATCACCCAATTCCTCCTTATGGGCCTGCCCATCTCCCCAGAGCACCAGCACCTGTTCTATGCCCTGTTTCTGGCCATGTACCTCACCACCATCCTTGGAAACGTCATCATCTTCATCCTCATTCTACTGGACTCTCATCTCCACACACCCATGTACTTGCTTCTTGGCAACTTGTCCTTCTCTGACCTTTGCTTTTCCTCTGTCACAATGCCCAAACTGCTTCAGAACATGCAGAGCCACGACTCAACCATCACCTATGCAGAATGTCTGACACAAATGTACTTTCTAATGTTTTTTGGAGACATGGAGAGCTTCCTTCTTGTTGTAATGGCCTATGACCGGTACGTGGCCATCTGCTTTCCACTTCATTACACCAGCATCATGAGCCCCAAGCTCGGTGCTTGTCTATTGTTGCCAATGTGGATGCTGGCTACATTCAATGCCATGATGCATACCGTGCTTATGGCTAGATTGTCTTTTTGTGAGAAAAACTTGATTCTCAACTTCTTTTGTGATGTATTGGCTCTACTGAAGCTGGCATGCTCAGACACCTACATTAACGAGTTAATGTTATTAATCATGAGTAGTCTCATTGGTATTATACCATTCGCACTCATTGTTATTTCCTACGTAAGGATTGTCTTTTCTATTCTCAAGGTTCATTCTACCCAGGGTCTCCGAAAGCTCTTCTCCACCTGTGGCTCCCACCTGTCTGTGGTGTTTCTTTTCTATGGGACAATTATTGGTCTATTCTTATGTCCATCAACTAATAACTCTGCTGTGAAAGAAACTGCCATGGCTGTGATGTACACAGTGGTGACTCCCATGTTGAACCCCTTTATCTACAGCCTGAGGAACAGAGACATTAAGGGGGCTCTGATAAGAGTTATCTTCAGTAACAAAATCTCTTTATCATGGTAGCACTTGGGATTTTTAACTAATTTCATGTAATAAACATAATGATGTCAATATTTATGAAATGTGTTCCTTATTACATAACCTACATGAAAGGACATGCTATATAACTGTTCAGTACATGAAAGGGAAGGGATGTAGTGGTGCAGTTAAATTAGGAAAGATTGTCCTGACATCTAGCTATATCTTCCTCCTTTCCTTGCATAAATGATCCTGGAAATACATAACAGAAGACGTAATAGCTAATATGATCTCAAATTCTTACATTCTTAATTAAGCACCTGCAGCATTTTTCTCATTGTACTTTGATTTCCATGTTCACTGATGTATCAGTTAAAATAATTTAAGTAAAAATTTAAGATATTCGATAACAATGAATGTTCTTCAACACACCACTTCCTTTTAATATTTCCAACAGGTTTTCTCACATTGATTTTGACATAATTGTTTTTCTTAATTCACCTGACAATCTTCATGTTTTTTTTTTATCTTTTCTGACTACTCTTGAACATTTAGGGCAATCATTTTGTTTATCACTGCCATTTATGTAATTTTTCTCTTAATTTGAAATTGACCAATAAACATAGACCATTCAATTTACTTTATTATGACAAAAAGAAGAAAGAAATCTAGATGCTGGTAATGCCTCATGTGTGTTTCATACTTTAATTTGTAAACTTCTGTTTATACTGGATGTTTATTTTACTCTTGTAAAAATCTTGAGTAGAAGGAGAGGTTTCTTTTTTACATAATGAAGAATATGAGGCTTAATGACTTTCCATCTCACACTAAGAGGCAATGGTTGACTGTGTATGAGATTATAGACCAAATCCACCAAATTTACTCTTTTGCCTATATATATATAAATTTACCTGAATATGGCATGGAATAACCTTCATCCCTTTTTTTTCTCCAGTTGCCGTTGATAGATTATGACATACTGACATACAAATCCAGTCCTTTATATTCCGTTGATCTCTCCCAAACATACATCTCCATGTGATGACAATGAAAAAAGAAATTGACAATACCAAAAGATAGAAAGACTTCCAAAGCTCATGGATTGGTAGGATTAATATTACAAACATGAGTATCTTATTAAAAATTCTCTTTTAACTAATTCCTCCCTTTAGGAATCCCCAATTGTCTTGCTAAATCTACTGATAATGTCGATGGAGACGTGAGACTGATTGCTGCTGTGTAGAAGAGTAGAAGCCTGACTAGATTTCAAGGCAGCTACCTAGTTTCGCAGTAGTCTTAGATGGGAATTCAGGGAAAGCCTTCAACCCACAGTTCAGAGAGGGAGAGGGGGGGAGGAGGGGGGGGAGGAGAAAGCATAGTGGGGTGGGGCTGGGCCACATACATGCAGCTCTAGTGGGAGCCCCATATGCAGCCCTGCCTGTGTTGGTGGATTAAAAAGTCTCAGGCAAACAGTTTTTTTGTGAATTTATACTCCAGACATTGGGTGCCAAATGTAGCATGAATAATAAAAACCCAAAGACAGAAATAGGGGCTCAATCCAAAAACCAGAAAACCAAAGCAGCCAAGCCACTAAAGAAGCCTTACCTCTACCAAGGCTGGGTGACTACAAAACTAAGCAGCTAAGCCTCTCTCTCTCTTCTCCAATTTCATATTCCTTCTAGTACTTGGATTAAAGGTGTGAACCACCACCACCTGGATTTTTCTGCATTGATCTTGTGTATCACGGGGTAGCTTTGAACTCACAGAGATCCATTTGACTCTGTCTCCCAAATCCTGGAATTATAGGTATGTGTCAATATTGCCTGATCTCTAGTGGCTTTAGCTTTGCATCTTGTCTCCAAGCAAGATTTATTTTTCACACAAATAATATACCACTACAAATATATACTCAACACAACATGCATAAAATTAAAATGCAAATATTTACAGATATTGAAAACATAATAAATTCCATATAAAAACACAAAAGTTAAGATGATTCCAAACAACAAAAGAAAGCTGAAGGTATCATCATTATGACTTCAAGTTATACTATAAAGATATAGTAGTAAAAAGAATACAGTACTTGCATAAGAACACATATGTTGATTAACGAAATAGAATTGAGGACATACACTTGTACAGACACCTGATCTTTTATGAAGAGGCCAATAAGACACTTTGGGGAAATGACAGCATCATCAACAAATGGTGCTGGTCAAACTGGATAGCTACATGTAGAAGAATGAAACTAAACCTTTATTTCAACCTGCATAAACTCTATTACAAATAGATCAAGGACCTCAATGTAAAAGCAAAATATGAAACAGATGAGTAGTATCTTTAAAAATAGAACTTGTACCAGCCTTTAAGTTATTTCCATGATCCTAGGAAAATAAAATGTAGGGTCTGTGACTACTAGTTAATTCTAGGCAAAAGCAGAACTGTACAAATGACTCTGTAATTTTTTAAAATGTCAAGAAGATTCATGAATTTATCTGGAAGTAGAGGAATTGTAAGAGCTATAGGATGTGGAGGTCTCCAAGGAAACAGTATCTTCCAAACAAAATTTGACTGATATATGTGTGAACTCAGAGCCTGTGACAGCATGCACAATACCCACACAAGTTCAAACCAGACAAAACCGCGGTACAAAAAAGGGGCAGTGGACAACCCTCTGTAACTCCAGTTTCAAGAGACTGGCCACTTTATTTCATCCAATGGCCACTGCATACACAGTGCACAGACAAAACACCCATATGCACAATAAAATAGTAAAGATTAAAACATTAAGAATGAATGAAAGCCAATATTTGTTCAGAAACAACACATAGGACACATTAGGAGATTGGGAGGTTGAGATACTGGGATGTTATCATGGGCTTAGTATTTTGGAAGACAATTTAAAAATTAGATAACAGTTAAAGCAGAACTCAGATAAACTGATAAAATTTTGGGGTGACTTAAGATGTAAGGAATGGAGGGCACTAAAATAGCAGCTCTAATATATGCCTCTTCAGGATCACCCAAGAAACTTAAAATAGAAGAATATTCATGTTTCTGTCTTCAGTTTTACACTCAGATATATTCTCTTCTACATGCTCATCTTTTTTTTTTCTTTTTCATGAGTAGAAGTCAGGTTTCCTCTACTTTGAAAAAAGGCAGTTATATTACTAATGGGTGATCAATTTTAAATATTAAACACTTTATTTTGAGATAGCTTTTTTGTTGGTTGAAATGATTTAACTATTGATCTTAATAATAAATGATAAATGAGTGAGTATACTGAAAATATTATGCATTTAATGGAATCTTGGATGGCAATGAGGAAATCTGGAATCACATCTCCACATTAGTGCAGTCTGCTTATTGGGTACAGTTTTCCAAAATTGTCAAGTGCAGCTATCAAATACATAAGGGAATTTTCTTCTCACAAAGAACTCTCGTCAATGCCCCCTTTATGTCTCTGTTCCTGAGGCTATAGATGAAGGGATTCAGCATAGGAGTCACCGCTGTGTACATCATTGCCATGACTATCTCCTTCACAGTGGAATTATTAGCTGAAGGACATAAGTAGAGACCAATAATTGCCCCATAGAACAGTGAGACCACAGACAGGTGGGAGCCACAGGTAGAGAAGACCTTGCGAACGCCTTGAACAGAAACTTTAAGAATGGAGGAGACAATTTGTGCATACGACACAATGATAAGAAGGAATGGAATGACAATAACAAGGCCTCCCATGATAAATATCACCAACTCATTAACGTGTGTGTCAGAGCAAGACAGTTTCAGCAGAGGAGATATGTCACAGAAATAGTGGGGGATCACATTGTCCTCACAGAAAGATAATCTGGCCACAAGCAGGGTGTGTAACATGGCATGGAATGTGGTCAGAACCCAGGGCAGCATCACCAGACACACACAGAGCTTGGGACTCATGATGCTGGTGTAATGAAGGGGGAAGCAGATGGCCACATAGCGGTCATAGGCCATGACCACTAGGAGGAAACTCTCAAAGTCTGCAAAAAACAAGTAAAAGTACAGTTGTGCCAAGCAACCTGTGTAGGAAATGGACAGAACTTGGCTGTGCATGCTTTGTAGCAATTTGGGCATTGTGACAGAGGAGAAGCAGAGGTCAGAGAAGGACAAGTTGCTGAGAAACAAATACATGGGTGTGTGCAGATGGGAGTCCAATAGAATGAGAATGAGGATGATGAGATTCCCCAGGATGGTGGTGAGGTACATGGCCAGGAACAGGGCATAGACCAGGTGATGGTGCTCTGGGGGGATGGGCAGGCCCAAGAGGAGGAACTGGGAGATGACAGTTTTGTTCCCTTCTGTCATATTCTTTCTCCTGTATTGTTAAGTAAAAATGACATAGATCCTTAGAAATACAAATTAAAATAAGCAGACATCTAGGCTCTTTTTATATTATTTACTTTAAAACAATTATTCTCATAACCATAATTATAAACTTATAATATCTGTAAACCCTTATAATATTCTTTAAAAAGCCTCCTTGTATGTTTCAATATTCTATCATTTCCTAAACAGGTTTAGCTATGAACTTCTGCGACACAAAACATGTTCGTTTTTCCCTTACCTATCTGAATGACCTTCCTAGGCAGATGAAATTGGTTCCTTCTCTTAGTATCTCTGATACGCTGTTGTTTCTCAGGACTCTGAAACTTTATTTTTAATAATCCCATATATATGTGTGATATATATATATTTCCATTGGCCTAAATTGATATCTGAAACTCAGTTGTTAAATTTGCGTCACCCTCAGATCTCCAACTTATTGCTTAGTTTCTTGGATATGTCACAGGCACGTCAAGTACGTCAGATCCAAATGAAACTTATGATACCGCTTTGCTTTTTCCCAACTTTCCCATGTCCTGTTCTCAGTTCTGTAAAAGGGACACTGGGTATTCAGTTCTGTAAAGGTGACTGTGGAGAACTGATACATCCAATATCTGAACTGCCTGAATAGAATAAGAAATGTGTCAGTTCTATTTCTCTTCCTAACAATGTCAATCTAGTAAATCCTAGAGCTCCTCTTCATCCTACTTCATCCATTCATCACCTCAACACCACACTCCTAGACCAGGCTGGCAACTAGATGTTGCCAAGAATGTGTTTACAAGATTATCAATGTTTAAGTCACTAAACTTTCAGTAATTTAATGTGATGAATCTCAGGAAATCAATTAAGGGACTTAACATCCTTAACATTTCTCTTGTTCAAGCTAACTTTCAATGATATCCAAAGCTCTTATGTTCACAAATGATGCTTTATTCCGGAGCTGTGGCACACCTGTGTGCTGCTGCTAATGTGACTTAAAAGTCACACTTTCTTGTTTCCAGCATTTTTACACTTCCTGTTTCATTTGCCTATAATTTCCTCCCCTCTTTAGTCCCTTCACCTATGTTGTCCCCATTTATCTTTCACAGATATTATATGACACTTGCTATTCAAAATTTGCCACACAAGACTGAGACCTGTTGCATGCTCTCACATTATTCTATGTTCCTCTCACATGGCCCAATGGCCCTGACCACTGATTCATGTAGGTTCCCCACAAGAACATCCACTACCTGCAGGAGAGCTATGTCCTTCTTCATCTTACAGCAGGGCCAGCCCATGGCATAGTACTTGTGTGTGACCAATGTTCATGTTTGTTGGTTGTTTTTCAGTCTGAGACAGAGTCCTTAAATGTTAAAGGCTACAGGCCTCTACTAAATTAGAGACAACATTCATACTAAATCTTGTGGTGGCACATGCCTTTGGCTCTAGTATTCTGGAGGCAGGTACTGAGCCATGTGGCTAACATAGATAAGAACAATGGGTTAATATAAGCTACAAGAGCTAATGATAAGCCTGAGCTAATGGTCCAATCAGTTTATATCTAATGTAGACTCTCTGTGTGGTTTTCTTTGGGGCCAAACGGCTGTGGAACCTTGTGGCAGGACAGAAATCCCAACAAGCAGGACTTCATGTTACAGAGAAAATCATGCTTCGTGTATAACATTTCATGTCTTGATTAACATGTATGGATAGACTAGTCTCTGTTACTGATTTTTGATGAAATACTAATTCTAATGGTACCATGAATATGGTTTTCAATGTCATGAGTATTTAAAATGACCGATTCAAAGTAAAATACAAGTATTTTCTTAAAATTCTACTTCCCTTATAAATGAGCGTGACTCATATAGTATAGAAATATATGTGGTGGTCAAATCAGAGACGTGACCTGCAGATACCGTTCCAAGTAATTCAGAGAGTTTCATATCTTCTTCAGCCATTAAATCAGTATTTCTCAACCAGGACAGCACATAGCGAATCCCTAGGGGATGATGTAATTCACATTAAATACAAATCACCTAGAAATATGTGAAAACATGGACTGTGGTTCTGTAGCTCAGATTCTACATAATAAATAAAACACCAGGTGGTGATACCTGAGTATTGGAAGAGGCAACACTTTCATTATCATGGAAAATACACATTGGTGAGTCCCCTCAGGTAAATTTAAATAATCTTTGATGAGAGTCCTGCTTAGTGTTTATTGAAGTGACACAGCAAAGCTAAAAAAAAATCTTTATCATCACAGGGCTATTATGTTGGTAGAGTATAATCTTAGGAGACTAATTATAGAGCTATTAATAAGAGGATCCACAGGATGAATAAAATATTACAAATGACCACCATTAATTCAAGTGCCATGGTATGGCAAAGTCTCTGAAGATGAGAAAGACAAAGAAGGAAAATATTATTTCTGAAAAATCTTCTTACAGAGAATCATACACTGTAGAATATTAAAACTCTTGTGTTGGAAGGATAGTAAAACATCAGCCCATTTACCCACCTGCCAACACATCGAGAATGTCTGTGAGTAATTCACAGTCCCTAATAAAATATCACGCTCTCTCTTTCCACTATGCTCACAGAAAATAATAGTCTCTAGTTAGCACCTAGATCTGCATCACCCTTTTTCCTATCTCTCCTTCCAGTTATCTCTGGGATTAAGATGCTCTGTAACCCAGAGGAATGTAAATCCTGAACAATCATTAGAGTAATTTTCTAGGACCTTTCTAGCACAAATTCTTTCAGAATCTTGTAGTGGTGACTGATTACACTTGTTGATTATGCGTTACTATTCTTAGGGGGAAAGTGAAGAAGTGGCATTCATAGGTCAATGCTTATTCATAACTTGTTCAGGGATGAGTTGAACCCCCATATTGCTGGAGTCTGAATTTCAAAGAATAATTAAGAGCTAAATTTAATAATTTAGAAGATCCTAAGAATATGAAAATGTTGAGAAGAAACCATTAGTTTCCATTATGGAAACATCACCATGAAAGCAAGTACTTTGAAACTGTTCCTGTCATACATTCTTGAATAAAATGCAATACTGTATAAAAAGGCCTCAAGATATATAGATATTATGCTAGCAGGGCCAGAATTTATCACTCAACTTTGTATACCTGTCAATATATTTTAAAATAGGAATAAAATAATGTTTGATGAATTCCTTAAGATTAAACTTAGCTCTCTTCAGGCTAAGATACAAGAAGAAGCCTAGATTCTCACTTCTAATTAGTTATTTTTGACTCTTCATCTCTCTGGAAAAACCTTAATTGTATCTGCTACCACTACACCAACCACTTTCTAGAACCATGTCAGTATAACCTACTGCCATGTTTTATATCCTTGTCATTGTTACTCATGGCATTGCTGACAGTTGTAATCTCTGCCTTTACTGTCCATCCCCTGTATTTAACAATCCTACTTTTTTTACCATGCCCCTGTGACATCATATCATGACTCCATCTAGGTAAGAATTAATTCATTGTGTCATAGACTTTATGATCTAATCACCTCTAGAAATGCCACTATCTATGAAGAAGTAGAAACAATCTTCACCCCCTTCCTGACGAGTGTGTCAGGAAATGTAGCAGAGGGAGATATAACTCAGACATAAAGCACAATGAGATGCTGTCATTTCTAGCAGCATGAAAAGACAGGCACAGTAAGAGGAGTGTCATTGGACTTCATGATTAGTGGAATTTTAAAAACTTTTCCTTGTAGAAGATTGGGATTGAATAACTTCAGAAGCCATGGATACGGGAAGTTGATCAATATATTCTAAGAATACATAAACTAGATTTCAGGTATGCTACTGAATATTAGGATGACCACACTCTATAGGTAGGTGTGGTTTATCTTAAAAGACAAAAAAGAAGGATTTTGTCAGTTTTCACATGAAGTGATATTTTATATCATAGCCTTGTGTATCTTGATTTTAAGCACCACACAATATATTCGCAACTTAATGCTTTTGTCAATTCAAAATAAAAATAAAAACTACAACTATTCTTAGAAGGAGACATTCTTTGTAAGGTTACTCTATATATCAATTTATCATAATCTGTGTCCTTTCTAGTGATACCAAACCTAATTTTTATTGCCGTTGACTATCGGGTCTATTTTCATGGTGATAGAGGTTAATTTAAATATTAACATTCTATTTTATCTCTGATAATTATATTCTACTAAGCCACCAAAATTTGGGGATTATATGTGTGCCATCAAAAAATACACAGAGAATAGTAACATGTTTCAGAACAATTATCAAAGTAAAAGGCAAAATGCAAAATTATATGCATCATGATCTAGGTTTGTAGATAAGGTGCCACTTAAGCAACAGGGTAAAAGGATATTTTTTAAAAGTAATCAAAAAATATACTGGGAGAAATATTATGACCAGAGTCATAAATGGCTGGAAGAAATATCATATAGAGTACAGAGTTTAGCATTGTGTAAGTGTAGAATATTGAAATGGCAGTGGACCCTTAGGCAGAAGCATGCACTGAGGAGACATATGGAATAGTAGGAACCTTGGATGGAGATTAGCTTCTAATGAAGGTGTGCATTTCAGCAGAATGTCTGAGATGTTGAAAGAGGTGTTGTTATTGCACACTCAGAGAGACAACAAAGGGAACAACTGACCCAAATTTGAAATCCTTGCTCACCATCTGACACTAAGAGATTGGAAAAAAATGATTACTCCTTTCTTTTTGAAGAAGGAGAACCTGGAAGGACACTGCAAAATCAGGCAGGTTTCTGTGTTACTAAGGCTTACTCATAGACACTGGGTGATGGGTGAAGGTTTTGAAGTTCAGTTCTTAGCCAGTAAAACAGTGATATAAAATGAATTACATGCATATATTAGCAAAGGAAAAGACAAAACAGAAGGAAGGAGTAGTGGAAAATAAATTTTATGTTTGCCTCCAGAACCTTTTCCTGTTTTTATGTTTTATGTAAATGAGGATTCCTGG